GGTTTTGATTTTGCCCTTATTCACGGCAACAAAAATGAGTTTTAGTCGATTTTTGTCGATTTTTCATGTTTTTTCCAACTTCTAATGGCTATATCTCGAAACACAGAGTTTTGCCAGATATAAGCTATACACAGAAAAAAATAAAAGTCTACATCTGGGCGTTTTTTCAGCTAAAGACTCATTCAGCCGATATTTCTGCTAGTACCTTGAGCTACAGGCGAAATTCCGCTTATAATCTAGCCGGTATTTCGTCTGAAACTCCGTTTGCTAGGCAAAATATAGGACTGGGCGCCTCTACCAGTCGAAATTCCGCCTAAATGTGGACATTTATTTTTGACTGTGTATGTCAAATTTTAGCTCTAACTTGGGGCTAAATTCCAGAGAATTTTTAAAAAAATCGTCGGAGCCGTTTTCGAGAAAATGGCCGATTTATGCAAGGCCAGGTGACCATTTTTTTGGGTTTCTGTCCATAGGACCATGCCGATTCAATTTTTTCAAAGCGAAATAGATGTCATTTGATAGCTGGCCTCAAGACCTTTCCAACGATACCCAAAAGTTTGAAATCGATTGACTGGGTTAGGCACAGTGATCATTGGAAAGAAGGCCATATTTTGAATTTTCAAAGGCCGTCCAAGGCCAAGATGGCGGCCAAATCAAAAAATGGCGGAACAAAAAAGTCTTAGTTTTTGTTATACTTTAATGCCTGAAAGTTTAAAAAAGACAGAAAAAATATTATCTCAGAATAATTGGTGGAGACGCCAAAGAAATTGTTTAAATCTTCATAACTCATGAACGGATGGTCCAATTTCGACGTTCTTGGGCTTTTTGGAAAGGTCTCGACGAGTAGACTCAGAAAGATGAACGGGCCGCGTTCAACACCCGGTAAATGGGAAAAACTGATAATTGTACATAATTTTCAAGTGGCTATTTCTATGGAGACGGTTGGTCGATTCTCAAGTTTGAATGCATTTTCTGGGCCTATGAGCCAGGGGCTTTCTAGCGATACTTCATTCATACCAGATGGCCTCTTAGGAAGAAAGTTCGAAATTGCGTGTATATATAGCGATTTCGACTTTCAGCACAGAGGTGCTTTCGTCACTCGCGCCTGCTGTCGCCGGCTGTGATTCAACATCCAAATATGGGATGTCGCATGCTGACATAACTAAACCTATAGCGGCTGTAGGTAATCGATTTTTTTTGTCACATAAAAGAAAAGAGGAATAGTCATCGCCGAACAATTTCTTTTTTAACACCAAATTACTGCGATTTTACCTTTGACTTGTTTCCATTACATCCGTCTGCAGAAACCGATACCACAATTAAAAGGCAAAATCTCTTTTTTCAAACATTCAAAATACATTTATTTACGTTTGTTTGTTTTTAATCTCTGTAAATTTGTAATAAAATGAATTTGTTTTATTTTATTTTATTTTCTTCATAATTTTCCTTTGTCGTTTTGGTTTTTGCCATATTTATCATAAATATAAATGTCGGTTATGATTTTAAGTTAGGAGGCGAACACTTAATCACTAGAATTTCATTTATTTTATTTGTTATTGTTTTACCGACAATCAACTTTACAATTCCATTTCGTTTAGTTATTCTCATCATTGTTTATTATCAAGTAAATTAATCAATTTGAGTGTAATACATACACGTATCGTCTAAAAACTGTGGAATTATCAGTTAAATTTCCATGGTAAGCATTAAATATGGTTTTATTTATGTTCATAATTGGACATATGGGGGTGGATATCAATAGGTTTTGCGTTCGTTCATTGTGTTGTTTATGTTTATCAATAGAAATTGATCCATTTGAGAGTGAGATAATTGAACGATGTAATGATAAATGGGAAAATCGAAGCCAAAGAAATAAGACACAACCAAAAGTTCAAATTAGCGGTTTTTGTTTTTCGTAAATAATAGGTAGGTAAAAGTCCGGAGGATATCGCACACTAAAACGTGCACAAACGTTGAAACAAAGTTAGGCGAAAAAATTAATTGGATCATTGAATAGGTTTGAAGGTGTGGATATAGTTTCAGTGGCTTGTTCTGTGAAATGACAAAAAAAATTGCTCAATGTTTCTCTTGCCACGCGAAATATCAAGAGAAAGATTGACAATTTCTTTTTATTTTACTCGTTTTATTTTCGTAAAGTTTCTGCAAAGTTAATCGGTCATCAAATACAATTTACTAGCCTTTTTTTGTTTCGATCGACAGACTGTCGTCTTCAGAGTGCCAAATGTCGAACAGAGCTGATGGCAACGGTTTTGTGTAGAGCCCCTAAACAAAATCATTGCCATTGCCAAACGCAATGAAGAGAAAAATGTGTCGATTTTTATTTTTCATTCGAAACCCAAGTAACTTTGCCACTAAAGGAATTGGTTTTCATGAGCACAACCAAATCGATTACGTTCATTAACTTCTTTTAAATATCATTTTAAAAATTAAAACGAAAAAAATTACGCATTAATTTTAATCTTGTGGTGAATATTGTCATCAAAATTAATTTAAAAACTCTTTTGGTATCGGTGTTTCTCATTCTTTTTTTTTGTTTGATTTTTTTTTCTTCATTACAACTATTTTTCTCTTAAACACTCATACAACAGATAATAGTTTTTGTAATCATATTTTTTTTTGTTTTTATCAAAGAACTCGATTGAGTATTGAGAAAACATCTTCTACATTGATACCAGCGTTTAGTTTTGGTTTGGAAAAAAATAGTTGTTCGATTGAGCAAAATATGAGTAAAATTTTGCGATTTTTCTTTTAGGCCAGACTGGCAAAGTAGCCTGAGTTGATAAATAAAAATTTGGAATCAATTTTTGATAATTGGTGCTTGGTTTCAGCCAATATCTTCGTAATTTTGAGCAATTTTTTTTCGTGGTGTGTGCTTTGTTTCAAATCGCAACAATGTCGCCATTTTTCCTTCTTTTTAAGTAATAATAATAATAATAATAATAATTACATTGACAACATTTTGTTAAATACGTATATGTTTCATTTTAACATGTTTTGTTTCTCTCTTTTTTTGTTAAATTGACTAAAACCATAAGCAATATTTTCTTTTTTTTTTTTTGTTTGTCTGTCTCGTTCGATTCAGTTCATAAGAGTCTGAGGGAAAAAAAGAAATAGAAATGCTTCATTTCGCATTGAATTTTTGTTTGGTTTGTTTCGGTTTTGATACGTTAAATCTAGAACTATGTTGTTTTTGTCTTCTGATATTTTTTTTCTTGCGATAGAAATTCGCTGAATCAAGCCTCAATTGGGCCTTGAGGACATTTTGAATTGGAAATGATTTAGTGATAACAAAAAACAAATAAATCTCTGCAACACTACATTACATTAGTTTTTTTTTTCGTCTCCTCTTCAAACCATCTTTTATCTTTAGAAAAATGGTAATCTCGTCTAAAATTTTCAGGTACGACTTTATTCACATCGTGAAAAAGGTTTTCATATTGTTTGCATTGTTTTTGGTTGTTGTTTGGCTTGTGCTCGAAAAACGAATGCTGAACCTAAGTACTTCACTCCGGCTGGAACGGAAACTGTGTGAGAGAAAAGAGCTTCCTCGTATAATTAAGCAAAATGTTTCGGTTTTCTCCATTTTCGTTTTTTTTCCTTCTAGTGAAAACTCATCAATTTTTATTGATGCAAATTTTCATTCGTATTTTCATTATTTGGCACAAGAATCATTCACAGGCATGCAAATGTCGCTTATTGTTTGACACATTTCGTTCAATCAATTCAATCGCATTTGCATAACATACAAAAATAATAATTCTGAACAAATCAAACTCTAATTCCAGTTTTATATTGAAGTTGTTGTCTGATTAACGTCTATCGCTAAGTATCTAAATGTACATGTATGAGTTTTGGTTGTTTTTTTTTGGTTTCATTTTAGAGATAATTTCCCTTGAAATGCACAGTAATCTCACTACAGATTTTACACATTTTACATAGAATTATCAATGTTTCTTTGGTTAGTGTCAACGATCGAAAATGTTTTTACTGTCTTTGTTTTGTTGCTATTATTCCATCGAAAAGAAAGAAGCAATTGAATCATCACCAAGTTTAGGATACAAATTCAAATGTGCGAATCGATTGCAGTCTTTAATTCAATTCGACAGTTTGACTCGATTCGATAATGTTTCAACAGCTTCATTCCAAGGAACATGGTTTCCGTTTTGATTATTCGTGGCCGTTGGAAGTTCGAACTTGGAGCGGTAGTTCCCATACTAAACGTTTAAAATAAAATTCGTCAAACAAAACCGTTGTATTAGTATAATAACAGACAAACGTTGTCAATCGATTCTATTGGTGAAAAATCAATTTTATTTTGGCCTGTGTGCTGCAACACAGTGGCATTTCATTATTCGTATTGTCAATCTCGAGAAATTTTTTAAGCGTTTCATATTCACAAGAATTTTTTTCTTGAAATTCAGTTTATTTCATCTAGAATCTTTTATGCATTTCTGAGATTTGTTTCATATCGAAGTCTTTTTGTGTATTCGCTGCTTGCAATGAATCTAATGGTAATCAACATAAATGTGGACTTTTTTGTTGCGCATTCATAGAAAAATAAATTGTTCAATTGTAAAAAATAGAGTGAGAGTTTAATCGAATTCAATAAATTTCCTTTTTTCGTTCACCTTTTTTTAATTTCCCTTTCCTATCTACTACTGTTCTGTTGATTCGTTTCATTCATACTTTGATTGTTTTTTTTTCTCAGGAAACACCTCCTGCGTTCTAGTGTGTGTTTGTTTTTTTTTGTATAAAAATCTACCCTTTTTTTTCTCGCCATTTTGACGTTTTTCCGTTCAAATTTGCGTTTTATCTTCACAATTCTCTTTTTTGATAATTTGTTTATTCCACAGTGTGAGCTAGACTTTCACGCTCGGTTTAATTGATTTTTATCCGATGGTCGAGAGTGGTGAACGTGAAATCGATGACGCTGACGATTTTTTTCCCGCTGGCATCAACGTTGCTGATGCCGAATTTTCACCAAAACATCGCTCCTCATAAACACGATCCTGAAATTGTTCGAACGATTTTTTTTTTCATTTGTTTATTATTGAAATGTTTATTTAATTGATGTGAATACTTTGCTAATCTTCTGACGGCTTACTTGTGCTTTATCGTATTTTAGTCGCTTCCATATTTTAACCTTTGGCTCAGCTGCAGTTCCATCGTCGGGCAAATTATAATTTGGATTCGAAAATGTCAACACCGATCCAGTTGAACTACGTGGCGTATGATTTTCCTTCTTTTTGCTATTATTCAAGACCAAATCTGTTGATGGTAAACAAAAACAGGTTTTAAAAATAAAGCGATCAGAATGTTCAAGAATTGAATATTGGATTTAATATTGTCTCAACGAGGCTTTAATGCAATGATTGCCAAGCGGAAAAATATTTTCGGATTTTTGAGATGATTTAAAACATCGAATGTGGGTTTTCATGACTGCTGTATTGAAATGCTCTATTTATTTATCGACGTTCAAAAAGAAGATTCATCATTGAATTGATAGAATTCATAATTGGCAATAATCGGTTCAATTTATGAAATTGACCATGATTTCTACTTACAGAGAATGGCGCATAGAACGATAATGAGAAGTACACCCAAAATTGCCGTTGCTATTTTAACGATGCGTGCTAACGAGCTGTTATCGCTTGAAAAACCTGAACCAGATCCATCATCATCGTCTAAATCTGTTTCGAAATAGTCGATTGAATTCGTTGGACGGGACATTACTTGGAATTCACCTGAAAAAGAAATTTTTTTTAACTCAATATCATGAACAACCCACATATAAATCTCTTTAAGCGATTATTTATTATATATGCCAAGTTATTTTGTTTGATCCTATCAAATGCTTTTGGTGCCAATCAATCTGAATTTACCTGCTTGGCATGTGCGAATGTCGGCTTTATCGGGGCATTCGCAAATATATGATGTGTATCGATACAGGCATAAATGTGTGCAGTCGCCGTTATTAACCATACATGGTGACCATTGATATGGTTGCCGATTCAAAGACACAGCCCGAATGTCAAGTGCACCGCCCAACCCCGATCGAACCTCAATCGGTTTGTTGTGTTGTCCACGTTTTGGAACTTTGAACACGGACTTATTGTACCAGTTTGACCAAAACAGACTCGTTTCGTATAACGCAATGCTAAAAGGATGAGCTGTGTGTTCGACAACTTGTTTACGGTCACGTCCATCAAAATCGGATTTTTCGATACGATCCTCAAGTGCATCTGCCCAGTATAATTGACGTGTGCTGTAAAATTATTGGAAAATATTTAAAAACAACGTAAAAAATGTAAAATGATGCAGATTCGCAAAAAGGTTTTATGTACCTAAAATCAACACAAAGCCCCGTTGGAAATCCTAAGCCGGTGCTAACAATAATCTTCCTATCGGATCCATCCAAGAAGCATCGTTCGATTCTTTGCGGTTTTCCCCAGTCCGAGAAGAATAAGTAACCTCTTTGCGGGAACAAAGCCAAAGATCGTGGATCGTTGAGATTTTCACTAATAATGACCTTGCGACTGGATCCATCGAGACGTGACACTTCAATCGAATGGGTTTCAGTATCGGAAAAATACAAATTGTCTGCTATCCAATCCACTGCCAAGCCGTTTGTTGTTTTTAGGCCGGAGGATACGATATTTTTGGTATTTTTCACATTTTTCAAATCAACCTCTCTGATAACATCGATATTCACATCGGCATAGTACAATTTTGAGCGATTGTAATGATAGTCGAGCACGATAGCAGCGTGAACATTGTCGATGGGTAAGACAACATCCAACATATCGTCGGTATCGAAGGAAATTCGACCAATTCCACCACGCATCGCGATCAAGAGGTAGTTCTGGATTGGAAGAAATGAACAATATTTGGTTTAAATACAATAAACGTGATTGGTTTGAATGAAAAGAAAGAAACTTGATTTGCATAATTTGTTTTGATCATTTTTTTCTTGTCTAAATCAATTTTTTCAAGTTGCCATGCGAATGAAAAAACATTCATTCAAGTTGATAAAATATAATAATAGGTGACACTCACCTCCGGTAAAGTCTGGCACTCGGTCTGTGTGTTCAGTTTGGTTCCAGTAGGGCATTTGCAGGAGAAACCTGTTGGATTTCTTAGGCATAAATGCGAACAATTCCCATTGTTATGACCGCACACATTTTCCATACGCTTTCGTTCGCGTTCGATGAATTTAACATCCATCAAGCCCTCCAGATTGTCTCGTACAATTTGTGCGGAAAAGTTGCGTTTGTCAATTAGATGCAACGACATTGTTTTCCAATCGGTGTAATAAATGTGGTTTGTAGTCACAGCTAAGCCATAGGGATGTTCAAGGTTCTGTAATATAATTTTACGATGATTTCCTTCATAGTTGCACGATTCAATCTTTTTGAGTTTGGCATCGGTCCAGAAGACCCGTTCAGCGTACGTGGATAGTGCATTTGGCCAGCCCAAGTCTTTTTCAACAATACTTGTGCGTTTGTCACCATCCATGTATGTTCTTTCAATGCGTTGTGTGCCCCAATCGGAGAAAAAGAGAAATCCTTCGCCATAATCGATTGCAATTCCCCGTGGCGCTTCCAAGTCGGTGTAAATGAGTGCAGCACGATTTGAACCATTCAATTCACAAACTTCAACGGACAAACGAACGCTGTCCGTGAAGTAAATCTTTCGGCCTATCGAATCCACCACCAATGATTCAACATTTCCAAGGCTGTCCGATATCACTTTTGATGAGTAGATTCCATCCGATGTTGATTTCATAATCACATCATCCGTTGTGTCTGACCAGTAAATATCGCCAGTCGTTGAGTCAACATCAACAGTCATTGCCGATGACATTGGCGGTAACGGTAGCACCACATCCACCAAGTAATCGTTATCCAGTGAAATTTGTCGGATATCCGTTCGGCGAGCAAAGATAATAAAATCATTGGGTCCATCGTTACAAGTTCGTCCATTTTTCGAAAGTTTCACTGCGATCGAGCAAGCACACCGATATCCATGCGGATTCAATAAGCACAAATGCGAACAGTCACCATTCGAAACACTGCATAAATTCGAAATCATTTTTCGATTACGATGAAACACCCGAACATCCATCAATTCACTCACATTTGCAATGAGAACCTGCCGGTCTTTGCCATTATTCTTATTGGCCGATTCAACATTTAATGTGGTCATATCCGTCCAAAACACCTTTTGTTCGTATACATCGATTCCAAATGGATGCACAAGACCTTCATCGATAATTGTTCGCCGCGCTGACCCATCGAATTTCACTGATTCCATCGTTTTGGTGCCACTGTCAACGAAATACAAGCGATCGCTAGCATAATCGATTGCCAATCCATTTGGGAAACGTAGATGTGCCGAAACCAATACTTTTCTATCGCTGCCATCCATACCAGCGACTTCGATTTGGGGTTTTGAGCCCCAATCACACCAAAACATTAAACCTTCAATTGGATTCACAACAATATCCCTTGGTTTTTCAATGCCTTGCCATATCAACATTGTTCTTAAGCGTCCATCAATCGTAGCTACTTCGATTCGATTCGTACCCATATCGGTGTAATAGATTTTATCTGTAATCCAATCAAGTGCTAAGCCTGCCGGTGAGATGAGATTCGACTGAATAATTTGCGTTTGATTTTCACCATTCAATTGAGCTCGACTGATTGTGCTCCGACCAACGTCGGTCCAATAGATTGTGTCGGTTTTTTGGCACAAATCAAATGCAATCGTTGATTTTAGTCCGTCAATGGGAATAACCTGCAATTATGAATTCGAAGATAAAAATCATTAGTAGCGAAATTGGTGCATTTAATCCGAATTTAACTTACCATATCGTGTTCGTTGAGGGAATTTTTCGAAATTAATTGCCGAACGCGAATATCCTTCTTTCGCGAGATTACAAGCAGCTTATCCGGTATATCGGTGCATGTTTTTCTATATGGAACATTTCGAAAGGAATAAATATTTATGAATTGAAGTTATGGTATGAAGAACAATCTGGAATGATTTTCAATAACTCAACAAATATTCTTGGTCTATGACAATGAAAACAAGTATAACTTCTGTTCGGTTTGACATCGTCTGATCTTAATAATTTAATTTAAGTAGCAAATAGAACTCAATTCTCTATAACAATCAAATGTTCTGAAGAGCTTTTTGTATGCTTTTGAATGTTCCGATAGAACTTTCGAGCCTTAGCCTCAGACGAAAACGATTTCATCCTTCCCATTAATGGCAACATTCATTCATTTATGAAATCAATTCAACAAGAAAAAAAAAACAAATAAAATATATAAATGCATTCGAATTTCTCAAAACTTACTGATCATCTTTCAAAGTCAATCCGATTGGACATCCACACCGTCGACTGTTTTTATTTGGTAGACATAGGTGGGAGCATCCTCCGCGTAGACCGCGTCGGTCAACAGTACAACGATTCAAGAACTCTGGTTGCCGCGATGAATGATATGAATGAATGTCCATTGGAAAATGTAAATCAATGTGAACATTTCGAAAACCTTTTCCTGTCACTTTATTAGCCGCTGAAATACTTTTCGTATTCCAATCCGTCCAGTACAGGTGATCTTCGAAGAGTGTCAACGCAAATGGATGGGGTAAATGATTGCTTAAAATCTGTGCAAAAATTGTAAGAAAATATAACAGACATGAATGAATGTTGTTTGTGTTGTTGTAATACAGAATTATTGATGGATTAAATCCATGGAAACAGACTATTTTCCTAGAATATATTGAGAAGAGTGTTTTCAAAAAAAAAGTTCAATGCTTATTGTAAAGGTATTTGTATTTTTATAATTGGAATCGAATAAAAATAATGTGTACCTTCTTGCGATCGGATCCATCAAAATGTGAGCTTTCAATCACATGGTGTTTTGCGTCGGCCCAATAAATGCGCCCACCTGAATAGTCAATGGTCAAGCCATTGGGCCAGAAAATGCCATCGGAAACGATGGTTCGTCGATCGGATCCATCCATGTAAGCGCGGTCAATTCGTGGTTTGGTTCCTGCAGCGGAATTTCCAAAGCCTGATTATAAAAATGTCAGTGATTTCGACCAATAAACGAGCACGGCATAAAACTTACCCCAATCAGTGAAGAAGATGGACGCTTCGCCCGGATGAACGACGATAGCACGTGGTTTAGCTAAATCATTTGCAATGATTACGGCACGTAATAAACCATCGAATGTTGCAACTTCGATGCGTTTAGTCCCTGAATCGGTGAAAAATATCAAATCATGTATCCAGTCAACGGCGATGCCTCCGGGTGATTCGAGGCCCCATTTTATGACATTTTTAACACCAGTTCCATTCATATACGACATTTTTATGACGTCTGTCGATACGTCTGACCAAAACAATAGGCTTCGTTTATAGTGAAAATCGAGAGCGATTGCATTGTGTAGTCCCTTGACAATTGACGTGTAACGATTGTTGCTTAGCGAAACTTGACGTATATCGACACGATTGGCCAATATCAATTTGACAGCTCCACCCAACGCTTTGCATGTTCGCAGATCTGGTCGCAGAATATAACCATTTGTGCAGCTACACTGAAAACTACCAACTGTGTTTATGCACTTCTGTGAACATACCGGATCTATTGTGAACTGACACTCGTCGATATCCGTGCAACTAAAAGAAAAAAAAAGGATTTCATTTTGAATCTTTTGTCTACTATAAAGAAAACATGTAAGTCAATCTTACTTGTATTTATTTTCTGATAGCACGAACCCAGTTTTACATGCGCAACCATCTTTTCCGTCGTGTGTCGTCACACACAATTGTTCGCATTTGGAATTTTTGTCACATTTTTTCGCCTATGAAGATGAAAAACCGATTAAATCTCTATAGAATCGTAAGCCTATTGATAAGCACTAGAAAAATTATTCGCTTACTTTAGGGCAATTTTCTTCGGCTTCATCTTCACCTTTTAAACAGTCGTATTGCCCGTCACTGAAAATGACCAATCAATCAAAATTGATGAATGACATCCCATAAGAATAAGTCGTAACGTGTTATAACATTGAATTTGCACAATATGTTACATACCATATATGTTTTTGATTCACGCAAATGCGGGCGTTAGTCGTATTTTTATACATTGGGCAGATGAATTGGCCGACATCGCATGTAACCTGTAATAATGAACACCTTCTTAAACCGAAACCAATGATTTGAACCGTATAAAAATAGCTCACCTGGCAATTTGACTCATCATCACCACGTTTGCAATCCGCTACTCCATCGCAAAGCCACGTTTTCTACAGAGAAAAAGGAGTTAACCAATTCGAATGGTGTGCAAATAAGAATGACATTTGATCTTTTAAATCGTGTGAAAGTTCATTAACTCACCAAAATGCATCGACCATCTTTGCATTGGTATTCATCATCTGCACACACTCTTTTTACCGGTTTTTCATCGATTTTACAACTCTTCTCATCGTCACCAGAGTCACAGTCTAATAAAACACAAAATGAATACGCACACACACAAGTGACATTTAATTGAGCACGTAAAGGTCATAAGTTTTACATCATTGTCACCTCCATCTACCACTTACCTTGTTCCATGTCACATTTCCATTGAATTGGGATGCATGTGCCATCACCACATTTAAACTCGTTGCTAGAGCAACTGGCTGATTTAACACCTAAGCAACCCACTTCGTCCGATCCATCTTTAAATAAAACGGAATGGAATTCAGTAAAAAAAATGACAAGTTCTCAGTAAACTTCTAAATTTAAACAGTCCCACTGCAAAACATACCACTGCAATCGTTTTCACCATCGCAACGAAAGCGATTCAAAATACATCGGCTTCCTGGTGCTGCACCGTAGTTAATTACACTGCCGCCGCATCGAAATTCACCCTCTGGACATTCCAGTACATTTGCATTTAGGCAATTCTGTTCGTCGCTCGCGTCCGCACAGTCGGGCTCGCTGTCACATCGAAAGCTAGCCGAGATACAATTTGTATCCGAACACATCCACTCATCGTTGCTACAGCTATTTCGGAGAAATTGATGATTAGTAAATAAAAAACACTCGAAAGAGAAGAAAACAAACAAAATTCAAATCGAATTCGGAATTTCTACGTTTCAAACGCAATTTGTTCTTTTTACGGACGGATCGATTTTGTTATCAATTTTCGTTTTTGTTGTAAAGCGATTATGTTTCGATGCATTTAAAATTCGCAGGATTCGGATGTTCAATAGAAATAACGAGAGTTTTTGCTGGAATTTACTAAGAGGGCAGTAAACCTCTGTATTATTAATATTCCAAATCATTATTGAGCTGTATGCGGTGTGAAAACCCGATGAAATAATCAATCATCCATCGATTCCGAGTGAGATGTGAATCAAAGCGCTTGATAAATTGATTTGATCCAAGCAAAAACCAATTAATGTTGAATTAAATTCTCCCACATTTCGAATTCGCCGCATTTGGATAATAATTGGATAGGTGTGTGTGTGTGTGTGTGTATGACCAATTTCGAGTGTTCTATCAATGTATCGCCTACGCGATACATACAATGAGTTCACTCTCTCTTTCTCTCTTACTCTCTCTCACTCACCTGTCAACCGATAAACAGAAGGGAAAAAAATCGCTTTTATTTATGCACCTCCTACGGCATTCATGCGTTTTTAGTCCTCGGTTTTTTTTTCTGTCAACCATTTCTTCAGTTGATTGTGTATCATTTGAGTGCAATAACACGTTCATTTGATTCATTGGTATGGCCGATACTCGTGTAGCACTTCAATAATATGCGAGACTCTATCAACCAACGCAATTCATATTTTTCATTTAATTCTTTTACAAATGCACACAAGCATTTTCTGCAGCTGGTAGAATCATCTCGATTGACATTGTAAATCGTTTTTTCCCAGCATCTCGAATCTCTTGAAATTTCAACGGAGGAGGACCTTTTTTTTTACGTGTAACAATTCGTGGAAAATTCATTTGAAATTTGTAACGAAGGGAATTTTTGCGTTGAATGTGCTTTTTATATGGCGATTCAAATTGGTTTTATGAGTAAAGTGAGCTGCAGCAAATTAAGAGAATTTTACCAGAAAATGAGGTTATCCCGGAATCACAATATGTAATGTATACAATCCTATGCTTTGACGTTTGTCACAATATAAGCGCCACCAAGTCTATGGAAAATGAACTATGCAATACTATATGGGATGATTATGTTGAACGTTTGAACGTTTTTCGAGCGATCAAATTGAATACATTGGACTTATACGAACCAAAGAATCATGGCACAGATGGCGCTTTATTTTATGCATTCCATACACATTGTGATTCCGGTTATCCAACCTAAAACAAGTGTCGAACAATGTAATCGAATCTGACGCATTATTGTACAGTGGTACGTCATTTTTTGGCATCAATTTTAATATACGTACATTCCCTCGAAAAATGCACCGTAATGAATAGCCGCAACCATAGGGGTATTGCAACGACCATAAAATATATGTATGTCATCAAGTTCATCAAGCTCGTTCCAAGTTTGTGCATAGTGTCGAACTTTTGTTCAAGATCTACCATCTTAATGTACAGTGAAATAATTTACGGGCACGACGTATGATGGCGTTTTTTCTGGTCAAAAAAGTTGCAATATCCCTTTGGCCGCAACGAATTTAATCGCAAAAAATTGTTGATGATGTCATTACATGGCGGTCAACAGTCGATAATGTTATAGATTTATTAAATTATAACGAGAATGGACAAAAAAATGTACTTACGATAGCTTTGCTGTACAGTTAACCTCATCGGAGTAGTCCTGACAATCATTATCGCCTATTGAATACCAAAAACAATCATTTTTTTTACATTTTATCGAAAAAAAGAACTTTAATCGAATTTGATCGAAAAAATTGCGTTTTCATAATGATTTTTCTAAATGAAATGTATTCAAAGGGACACTGACCATCGCAAACCCATTGATGCTGAATACATAAGCCGTTGTTGCATTCAAACTGGTCCTCTTCACATTTCACCTTGGCTCCACAATGTGTTTCATCGCTGAAGTCACCGCAATCTAAAATCGAAAAGCCAAATTAAGAGAAAAGAAATGCTTCGAATAGTATAGATACTGATATTTTCCAGGACAAATTCTATTATTACCATTGTCTCCATCACACAAAAAATCTTTGGCGATGCAGGCAAATGTTTTGGGGCACAGCACATGATGATCGGACGATTCGCAATCTTTTTTAATGTTTCGGATGATTTCAACGTTGGATGTACCACCGCAATCTTCTTCATCTTCTTGGAATTCGCAATCGAGCACTCCATTGCATCGTGTGAATTTCGGAACGCATTGACAACTATGGGGACAAAGGAATTCGGAATTTAAGCAGCCAAGAGTGCATGGTTGCTCATCCAATCGATCGTCACTGTCCATTTCATCGTCAACCATGTGCGGTCCACCGTTTGGCATGTGCATAAGATCGCCTTCAGGATGCATGACCGCATAATTAGAGCTGCCATGTTTGCCATGTTCACTTCGGGTATCGAAACGATCTATTGTTTTCCAATCATCTTCAACATCGCCATGTCGTTCGCCAAGTTTTCGTGAACCATAAATGCTGTCTTCAATACCGGGCACCCGAACGCCGCCGATCACACCTCCACCGAAAGCTCGAAAACTGGGATCAAATGGCGGTGGAACTGGATGCGGTTCATGAACTAAAATACCATGTGGATACCGGTCGTCGTCATCATCATCTTCTGCATATATTGGTTGTCTGGTTGTACTTGTTGCTGACGCGTGATTTTTATTTTTTTTCCGTTTCGCTTGCTTGCTATTGCCACTTGTTCGCAATGAACTGGAACCGAAAATTTGCCGGGCAGCACCAGAAATTACAGGATATTCAACAGATTCAACTTGGCTCAAATCGGTAGTTTCACCATTCGTTAATACTGTGGGATTTCAAAAGCAAAGGAAAATGAGGAAAATAGCATTCAGTTTTCTTTTGAAAAAAAAATCCATGAATTTTGCTTCATCAATCAGTTCAAAAATAGCTACGCATCAATAAAATGAGTTTAAATCGAGATTTTTCATTTAGCTAAGATTACGTGCAAGGTAAAATTTGCTATCATTGTGGCTTCATGTTCACGGTCCATTCTAATTTTATACTTAAATTACGCATCGACGCATAATTATCATGTTTTTCAACCTACTTTGCCTCGTGCGATGCAAGAGCGAAAGAAAAACCGCAAAGAAAACGAAAGTTGAAAAAGAAAGGAAAAAAATATATAAGCCATCCATCGTTCCGAAACAGAAAACTTCGTCTGCCTGACAATCATCAAGCACGGTACCACGCATTTTCCATGTATACAATTCCGATGAGAGCGAGAGAAAGCGAATGGAAAAAAAGCGCCCGTGTGGGATGCTGTATTATTGATTTTCAAAGTATAATTTGTTCTTTACACAACCGCACAACGTTTGGGTTGCCGAGTCAAGATGTGAATACGAGAACGGGCCCACACATACACAGCATCACCGTTTTGCACACGCACACACATACACACTCACAAACACATCATAACGGACCCGGAGAGGAAAAAGGCTCTACTCTCGGCTCAAATTCAATTCGTATCTCAATTCATATTCCACATCCATGACACAACAACAAATGATATAAATATATCCATCTATACAGAGCTCGTTGCTTCCGCGTGCTCGTCGAAAAATTATTCATTCAACAAAAGACTCACAATGGATGTGAATTGAGCGAGAAAAAAAAACACGCAGAGGAAGAGAGAGACTTTCGTTTTCGCCTATGTCTTTGGTTTTTACGCGTTAACATCATACACTCATTCGCTCTGTCTATCGCACAAACGCACGCACATGCCATCGTCATCGTTGTCGCCACCGTTGTCGCCACCGTTGTCGCAAACACACACGCACAGCCACGCACTCAATTCGAGGAAAACAAGAGACAAAAAAAATCGGACATTTATGCGTGCAAAATATGATTCAATTAGATGTTACTTTACTTACCAAACAATCCACAAAAGAACAGCGCCAGGGCGAATTCAAAATAATTCATGGTCTTTTTCTCGCTTTAATTGAATTACACTATGTTAATATTAACGCTTATGGCCAAAAATACACTTGTCCAATAATGTTTGATTTTGATGTTTCAGTGCCAATTTTCGGGAAATTGATTCGATTTTCACTCCATTCGCTTCGGCAATTATGTATGTGGTATGTGATTTTCTTTTCTCTGTCGCTTGGAAATGAAATTGATGAACGAACACGTTAGTTGTGCATGGAACTCGGGCATGTTTCGTAATCGATGGCCTCGATTCCGATATATGAATGAAAAGCTCTTGATTCAAATCGCACAAGGCGAATGGGATAAACTGCTTCCAATGAATTAAAAAACGTTTTTCCAATGAATTCTATTTTCCAAAATAGAAAAAACACGCATTCAAACACTGTCATGACCCCGGCCAACCTTGAATTGAAAATGCTTTTAAACTGACATTTTTGCCTTCATTTTTGCAGAAAAATGGCATTAGATGGACCCAAATGTTAGATTCTCTTTTAATACTACAAATTTCGGAATGTTTCAGCGTTTTAAAAAGTGAAATTTTTGGGATTGAATTTGAGTTAAATTTCAGCATTACAGTAAAAAAGAGTACTTCTGCAATACAATTGAGATCATCATCATCCACAATCTCTCATGTATTAACATGATATGATTCATGGATGTGACGACAAGGAGGAGGAGGAGGATATGTGTTACTAGGCGAGGAAAACGCAAGCTCCACAATGGATCACGAGCATTGATTTAATGCCGACCATACATGCTGTAGAGTTGTTACCATTTTAAAAGATGACAATTTGCACAAAACCGCCTCATTGACTAAAATCTCTGTATTTCATTGATGATATTTCGATTTTATTGAATGAAAACGTCCACTAATCACTGGCAAGTGATATTATGAAGATCATCACTGGCAAACGCCTTTTGCAAATGTACGGAGACGATATAATTCGTGTGATCATTTATTACGTCAATACAGAACTGTTACTTCGTTATTTCGGAGGTTTTTCTTATGTTTTTGCTGGAATGAATTCAGCTTTCATAACCGATAACATTCTTGACCTATGATTACCTAATTCGCATGCAAAATAAACGTTATTTCATCGAATATAAACTGTGTGTAAGTAGAAAAAAAAATTGCGTAACGACAGACGTCAAACCAAAGCCATGGGTCGTCGATTTCATGGAATTGAAAAAATCACATTTACTCCGTCGCTTTTGAATCAAGAGCTCATTAAATTGGCCAAAAATACCATTGGCTGGTTTTGTTTGAATTATACCTCGTTCAGCCCAATTGACCGAGTACTACGTATACTTTTTGTGAACTTTGTTTTCCCCGAAAATCCGTCAATGAATTTCCACTTGAATCGAAGAACAGAGAATTTTGTTTTTTTTTTCTCGCTACGTTCGGTTGTAGATTCGTCGATTAATTGGCAGCTTATGTGTTGATTTAGCCGAATTTTTTGGTCGGCATCAACCACACAAGTCTTCTCTTATAGCCGCGTTTCATGTTAAATTCAATTTAGTCATTTTACCACACATGATTATTCTGTTGATGATTTTTTTTTAAATCTCGTAGGTCAAAACTCTCTAAAGTCAATTTGTTTTTTTTTCACAATATTTTTCACACGTTTTATTCAGTTCAAATAGCCAATAGATTTCAAGTTGTACGGTGAATGTGTGACGGAAATAAACGCACACCATCCACCTGAATCATATCTACTCAGAGAGGAATGAAGAGAAGGAAAAAAAACAACAAGCTCGTTTGTACAGCAGCGCGCTCCCGCAGATCAAATTGGTCGTGTACTTTTGTGCTGTTGTTCGTGTAACGCGTTTTGGGTGTGTTTTCACTGTCGATGTGGCGAGTTTTTTTCTCTCTCTCTCTCTCTCAATCTCGTTGATTCTTTCACTTAGATCACCATTAAAATCCACAGATTCGTAAATATTGTTCTATATTTTCGATGAAAATGTTGTAAAATGTTCACTTTTTCTATGTTTCGTATGGCCAATGAATTGTAAAAAAATGATTTTTTTTCACTTGAAAATGTTGTTGTAACACAGCCCAGACAAAAGTCGTAGTTTTCTTATTCGACTAACCTCATTTTTCAATCACAAATCACCACTGAAAATTCGTCGATTTTTCAATTCACTGTATCGTTTTGCCGTTGGTATCCACGGGAAATATGTTGATTTCGTTGAAAATCAAATGGAAAAACACGATTTCCGTTGAAAGAAAAAATGTTATTCTTCTTCCCTACGGTTCAGCTGATGAACGAACCATATCGGTCGCGTTATCTTCAAGATACGTTGCTCATAAGACTGAACGTCATCCCATTCGTTCGGATGTTAAGATGGAGATGAATCGAAATTGCTTTCGACTCTCGCACACACACACACAGAGAGAGAGATCAGTTTGAAGCAACAACAATTACAGCAAAAAGAGCGAGATGAAGTGACACCGATTTTCCATTACCGTACGCAAAAATGATTGCAATGTAATGGTGTGACGGGTGCATTGGGGACGCATGCGTCAGATTTTGTTCAGCCAAATCAAGGAAAATTCATTCAATTGTTCTACCGACGAGTATTTTGTTTTTGTGAATGTGTATGGAGCCCGCTCCACAGAAAGCAGAATCAGCATCAGTAGCAGCAACAGCAGCAGTCACCAGCCAGCCATCCAGCGTCAAATGAATCGAATAGTTTCTCGGTTTTATGAATCAATGGATAGACTCGTTGGTGTATAGTGCGATTTCCAGCCTTGCCTTCATTAATAACTTACAACTTTCATTCTCTGTGTATGATCCACATTCAGCTGTAGCTTGCTTTCGTTCATTCACTCTCTGTCGTTTTCGTTCGCTTATTATTCTCTTGCTCTCGCTCGCTCGCTTCGCATCATTTATGTGATTGTGTTAGTAATTTTGGACGGAGTAAGAGTGAGCTATTCAAGGAAATATTTCACGCAATTTATATTTCTAGCATTGAAACTGTTATTCAATAAAGCTGAAAAAAAATTCCATTTTGGAATGTTTCGGTTCAATTGTGCAATTCGAAAATTATTGAATGATTTTGGATTGTTTTGAAAAAAAAAAACAAAATCGCAATTTCCTATTGGAATTATTGATGTTAGCATAAAAATACGGGAAAATTGTCGACGAAGAGTTTCAATTTTTTTTTTGAGAGAATACTCCTTTTCTCTTTTCCCATATTTAGGCAGAAGAATGTTGGTCGTTGTCGAAAAAATGCGTATTATCAACGTATTCATTCATCTTGGATTGGTCCACCATTCATGTGTTATATACACAACCATCTGCCAATCACTTGTGTGTCACTACGTAAATATTATTGCGAACGAGAGATTGATTCAACACAAATGCACGGGTGTCTCATCGTCATTTCCCCGCAGTAACGGAATCGAAGGGGCAACGATTCAGCTGTCACTTTCCACATGCATCCAACACAGCACGATGTGAGCAACGCACACTTGCACAGCATCCAAATCATCTCGTGTTGATACGTTTGTCTTTGTCTAATCTCAAGTTCGAATTTTGGTGCTGTTCGAAAAAGCTCCAGTGCAGAAATTCAAAATGCCATTTCGAAAGTGACAGTTACGAAAAAGCGCCGAGCAAAAGGGTAAAAGAAAAGGAAACGGAACACCATTAGCAATCGATTTATTTCATTTATTTGAACAATTGATTTTCACCCAGCTGGTTTTTCTTTCTGTGTATTGATTTCTTAAACCTAATTTTGTTGTTTGTTTAGTCGACCGCATTATAGAATCGGATTGCATGTAATTTCAACTAGTCAGATGCTGATTTTAAATAAAAAAAAATTTTGTTGCTGTTTTTCTTTAAATATTTTCTATCATTTATAATTCAGCGCTAAAATGTTATTTCTCCATTTTTGTTGTTGTTTTTCTTGTTGCTTGTTCTAAGTTCTACGTTTGAAATACTTTTTTTTGGTAAATTTTTATTTGGTAATTGATTTTGTTGAAATTTAGTGTTATTCGCATAGTTTTGCAGATTCAAAGATGAAAGTTTGCTATTGATGTTTTTTGTTGTTGTTGTTGTTGTAAATTTTGACAATGTCGTTGTTTATAGAAAAAAATATAATGGTTGTTGCATGAATCCATTCATCCAAGTGTATACATTGCAAATCGAACAATCGAGTAAGTGAATTAAAGTGAGTTTGCATTCTGTTCTCTTTTTGTTTAGATTTTCATTATTCTAACGCGTAAAATATCCAATAGCCAGCATTGAATGCTAGAAAACTAATGGGAAATATCATGCGTGAATATTTATCAATAATATTAACATCTTTTATGGTTGGCAATGATTTTCTCAACACACGGGCACCGCGTCGAATTGCATGGAACATCTTTGGCCGTTGGTATACGTTTGGATTTTTTGGGCATGTGGCCGTGCCACTGTTTGGGCTTCGATAACGCAAACCATAGTTTGGATTGTTTCGGCTCAAGCTAGACACACCAACGCCATAGTTTCGTGCGATGCGAAAACTTGGCGGAAATTGCGAAAAATCCGCTTGTTCTAAAGTTCCTGAATTATTTGTACCACACGCGCTTATGGCACATGTGTATTGACGATGACGCAACGATGCTATCGGACTCATTCGAACGTCTTGCAATTCGATTATGTCTTCGGATGATGAACAGCAGCCATCATTTTTAGTTGACTTTATTTTACCTGCAGAAAAACGGGTGCGAAATGGTGTTTTTAATACATTGGTGCATAGTTCATAATAAACAGATTTATTATCAACTTGGAGATTCCAAGTAGAAATTTAACACGAAATTTAATTGAATGTATAAAAAAAAGTCAAGATTGCGTTAGGCCTTATTTTTAACCAATTAAAACTTATATTCAACTTTTGTTGGATAATTCAGCGAATGAAATCATAAAAATTGATTAAAAGTTTCATTGAAAAATAATACAGTCTTGCCTGTAATCTTATGCTCAGTTTTATTCTTTTTGGGCTTTTTCTTGGCTCGTGCTCCCCAGTAAGTGTAATTGACGGCAGCGTATTCGAGGAGAGCTGCAAAAACGAATACAAAAGACATCACCAGATAGATATCGATGGCTTTAACATAGGATATTCGTGGCAATGAACTGCGAACTCCAGTGCTGATCGTTGTCATTGTCAGAACAGTTGTGATTCCTATGGGGAAATCGAACACATTTAAAGTCAACGATTTAGAAAACATGAAAATGAATATTGAGTTCAGTGATTTTGTTACCTAATGCTACTCTGGCACTAGTCGCTTCATGGTTTATCCAAAATGACACCCATGACAGCATCACAATCAAAATGCTCGGTAAATATGTTTGAAATACGAAATAACCAATATTTCGACGAAGTTTAAACGACAATGACAAGCGCTGATACGTTCCCGTTGCCAGTTGTTCCTGAAAATTGGAAACAAAAATAAGAACGATTGTTTTGGAAAAAAAAAATATGTGATGCGAATTTGAAAATATGAAGAATTTTCTGAAATGTAAAAAGTTGAATTCAATTTTCTTTGGTTCTACTGGAAGAAAGAAGAGCAAGTGTTTTTTTTGCATACTTTTCTGTCATTCGTTTCGAACCCTAATATGGTGAATTGTGGAAGTTCGGTATCGAAAACGCCAAGCACGGCTGTAGGCTGCCAATACATCAGAACATCCGACATTGTATAACCATCTGAATTGTAGAAAAAAAAACAATAGCCAGATTAATAGATGCGTGTACGTGTACGCATACAATACTCTGATTAACTTACAGCTCTCGATTTCGACCGTACAATTCTGCGAATCCAAGGGATAATAGTGTAAATCCATCATGCAGGCGAGTGTTGTTGTGAATCGCATGCCATATGTGACGGTGCCATCACCATTCAAACGCACTAACTTATTTCGTTCGGTGACATCGTGTAAAAAACTAAATCATTATGAAAACAAAAGTGTCAAATCAGAGCCGTCAGACAGAGAGGCCGAAAAAAAGTCTGAAAAGTCGGGATTTAAATCAAAATGCTCTTTCATCTCACCTATGCTTATCGTTTGCGAAGAATGTGTCGGGCACCCATATACGTTCGGCAAAATCTCCAGACAATGTGAGCAAATCGTTGAAATCGTTGCGTGAATTTTCACCAAACGGTATAAAGGAATTAAATGCTAAGCGCTCGTCTCGCCAGTACTGGTTTAGATATATTGTTATCGTGTAATCCTATCGCCCGCCACACACACACCACAAATACAAAAAATAGTTTTATTATGTGATACAAATGAAAAGTTTTCACTTTGTCTATTATTCTTTTTTTTTTGTTCCTATCTCCATACCATGTTCACTTCAGAAATCGCATCAAAGCTGGCTATCGTCAAATCCATGCCCACACGTAAAGGGTCGCCTAATTAAAATATGCAAATCAAATTAAATTCATCTCCGGGAATATTCAAATGTTTCGTTGGCAACACATTTCATCGGGTTAAAAAAAAGTTTCATCGCAATTTATGTGGTTTTCAAAATTCCATTCAATACAACAAAGTAATTTCAATAGAACAGAGGTTTTTCCATGAGATATTTGATGGCACACAAAGTATGTCCATGTGCACAAACAGTGTGTATCGAGAGTTTTGAAATTTGCTGAGGAATTCACTTTTTTTTTGCAAATTCATTTTTTGTTTCATTTTATATTTTGTTACCCGGAATTTTATTGAAAATTCAATTAAATGCGGAAACAGTTGAGTTGTGGTGCTAGATTATGTCATAAGGGAAATAATTTTCAGAGATTGCATATTTACTGCTGAGTAGGCCTGAGCTGAGCTGAAT